GAGCGATGTAACATCAAGAGACCATAGTTTCATCCGCCTCCATGATGACATCCCTCACCTTGTCCTCACTTGGGTAAAGCCATGTGATGTGAGTATCAGTCACATGGAGGCAGTGCTTAAAAGCCTGAATTTTGCCTGAAACTCTCAGACTGAAGAAGTCTCTTGGAGGAGAGACAAAACGTTTCATTAGAGAAGAACCCGTCCAGAGGACCTATACAATTTTTTTTCTTTTTGATTTTTTACCTGGATTACTGAGATGCATCAGGTCAATGTGATAAATGTTGTCTCTGAGCAACAAACTGAGCTTGAACAGGAAAAACAGCCTAAATGATATTTGCTTCATTCCAGATTTAAATTGTCTATTGCTTGGAGATATTCATGTCCTTCCTGTTAGTCGACAGACGTATAATGACGTGTCTGACTTCCTGTCTGCAGGAGGTGGCCCGGAGGACTGTCACCAAGACTCAGGTGGAGGTTGAAAATGGTGATGGGGAGGAAGATGAAGTGGTGCAGACGGTAAAATACTTCATTTTCTTGCTTTACCCTCATTAGTTTTGTGTCATAAATGCAAAAAAAAAAAAAGAAACAGAGAGAGAAAGCAGACGTTTAATTCTCATTTAGAGTATGTCACAAAGCAGGAGTCTGTTGTGGTTCTAAGGTTTATGTCTGTTATGAAGTCACTGTGTCAAAACTAGGTTCTGTCTCATTGTTCTGGAGTTTTATTAGCTAAAACAAGAGATGACAATCAGAGATTTTAAAAATCATAGAGTTGTGAAAGAAAAAAAAGGCAGATTGAGGCTTATTTTTCCGTTCATTTCTGTCTGCCTCTTTAACTTGGCAGTCAGGGAGTGAGAGACACAAATGTGTGGTCACCACGGTGACATGGGGACTCACTGTTATCAACTTTTCTTTTGATCTTTTCTTGCACACCTCTCACTCATAAATCCAAAACACAAAGTTTAGATTATTTACAAAGTTTTGTTGACATTTTAGGCTGCAGCTGCATTTACTCTCTTGTTTTCAGAAATGTCTTATTTTAATGCAGCGGGTCCTTTTTTTTTTTTATTTAATTTATTTACCGAGTTAAATCTAAAAAGTTTTTTTAACCTTTGTGTTTGTTCCACAGGGCAAAGTGTCTTCAAGAGAGTGTGCCGTCATGTGAAGCCTTCAGCTTCCTGATTTTTATTTGACTTATTCTTATGTATTATTTGACTATTTTTATTGAGAGCCATTCCATTATTACCTGTGCTCAGTAAGTGTTTTTATCATTTCAGACTTTACTAGTACATTGAATTGGGCTTTTAGTTTGTTATTATTTTAAAGAATATTCAGCAGAAGCAGTATCAGTAAACAGGACTGTTGGTGGATCCACAAACTGAACCTGTTCAGTTTATTCCAAACACTCCCACTCTTCTTTTAGTTTTAGTCAGTTATTCAATTTATCTGCTGTAGGTTTTATATTTAGTAACACATTTTGTTGAAGAAGAAAAAAAAGCCAAATTAAATGTTGGGAAAAGTACATTTTCTTTGCAATTATGTTAAGTTTCCAATGAAATCAGTTTGTAGTGATGTGTTGGTTAGAGGCTCAGATTAAAGGACAGATTAAAGACCCTCTGTCAGGCTCCTGGACTTAACGGGGTTTTCCACTAAAGAGATTTCAGTGCCAGACCAGGTCTGGAGCTGGTTCCTAACTGGTTCTAATAATCTGCTAGAGCCGGAGTTAATCTGACTTCCTGTTCATGTTAAAGTGTTTTCTATTAAATTAAAGAAAACAGCAATTCACAAGTTTTATTGGTTGTTTGTCTCCATGAGTCCGTCTTTCTGACAAAACCATTTTTTTTTTTTCTTTTGCTCTGGTCCAGCATAGTTTGTGTAGGTTCTGGTTTTTCAGTACCAGAACCAGAACACACAGTCGTGGGAACACAGAGCTCCAGTTCAGCACTGGAACCTGTTTGGTGGGAAAAACCTCATAGTTTGAGCCTCATGTACACAAAAAAAAAAGTAGCGTATTAACTTTGTGCAAAAGTATCAACAATGAAAGGACTGTGGAACAGCTCAGTCCCACACACATATACGTTTCTACAGGTTTTCTTCTGTTGGCAACACCAGGTGCATTCTGGGAAACTGTTGCGGATGTGAATTAATATTAAACACACCTCTGCTTTGTTAGGTTGAGCTGAAAGTCAGATTTTTGGTGTCAGAGCGAGCGTGGCCATGTCAGCATGCAAACAGTTTAAGAAGCTGGGCTCCTTCATATTATCCCACGTAGAAAAATCTAACTTTAAAATCATTTATAGGTCTGTTTGGTGTGAAAATATTCAAATAAATGTTGAATCTGCAAATCAGAACAAATAATAGTTCTGTCATCACGTTAAGGCAGCCAGTGTCCCGCTTTAGGTGTTTAAATGTTCATTTTAGTCGTCAAATTTAACCACAAACAAATAAATTACTCAACGATTTGTTTTTATCTTCTCATACAATCTATTACATATAAACTAAGCTGTTTTAAGTTATGTTTCTCTCCTCACATAGTTTGCGCTGAACATTAGGTTTGTAAACTTGAATCCTTTGTCACGGTGCGCCACAGAGAAGCTGCCGTTTGAAACACGACTCCATCAATCATCGAGTTGATGAAGTAGAAATGGGCTGTGTTTTCATTCTTCATTAAACTTTCAGAGACGTCCATCACACAGTTCATCAGATAAATTCTCTGAACATCAGAATATTTGATAAATCAACCTCTGAGTCTCTGTTTACAGCAGTTATGTCATAATGACGCACCTCTGGCTCGCTTCATTCACTCACTATTAGAGTGTGGAGTTTGTGTTTGATACTGGATGAGAGGCGACAGACAGCTGCAGGTGTGAAGCAGCTCTGACAAGCTTCACACACACACACACACTCACACACACACACACACACACTCACTCTTTTGGCTCAGGGCTAATGCTAAAGGACATTAATACACGCTCCACTACCTTATTTAGGAGCGTATCTAACATTTCACAAAATTCTTCTTTTCTCTGCTTGTAGACATGATTTTAATTGCGCAGAGAGGAAAATCACACACAGAGCTATTTGTGTTTTTAAATGGAGGCGCGTCGTCGTCGCTCTGCTCCACGTTGAATCATGAAGCTCAAAGGAAGTGTGCTCGGATTCATGCATACGCCTGGTTTAATACAGCTGAATGTTTTGTTTGTATCTCATTTTCTTGATTTAATCACATCTTTGTGTGTGAGGCTCTAATTGTCACTGAGAAAAGCCTCAAATCCTCATGTTTTGTTTTTTTATTATAATTAACTTCAATACACTAAACAGGACATCTTAAATCAAGATGAAGTTGGGAGTTTTAGTGTCTGGAGACATTAGTTTAGTCATTTTAAAGATGTGTATCGGTTGTTTTTGGTTTTAAATATAGGATTTTGCTTTTTAAACGGAATAGAACCGGTTCTTTTGAATGTTGAGTTAGTAATGATGAGTTGTGTGAAAAAGCTTTAGAAGATTGTCAACTGATGCATTCGGTCCTAAAACGTTTTGCGATCAGATGTCGGCTATTAGGCATATACATACACACACACACACGTTTCTCTATACTTGCGTGGACTTTGCATTGACTTCCATTAATTTCAACAGCCTGACCCCCTTACCCTAAACCGAACTCACAAATAGTGTTGTTCCACTGTGTGGACCAGACAGATGTCCACAGAATGACAAAATGTCCTCATAAGCATAGTGTAATGTTAAAATATTTTTGCAGAGAGATCACAGTAAACAGTAAAAGATAATTTATAGTTCAGACATCAGAACTGTGATATTTTGACGTGAACATGATTTAGAGTTATTTAATTCCCATTTCTGGATGAGTTACCTCTTAAGCTTATTTACTTTTACCCTCTGCTCGGTTTAATTAGGTAAAAAATGCAACGCAACACTTATTCTGTGACTGACATGAGGTTATAGCTGACAGTAAACCTCAAAACAGCTCTAAAAGTAAACAAACTCTAAACTGGAGGTAAACTCACCCATACAGTGTCCTATAATTTACTTTAATCCCAACAAAACAAATAAAAATAATTCAAGTTTATTGAGAAATAACAAAAAGCTGTATTTTTTTAAATGTTCCTTAAGATCACAGTTTAGTTATTGGTGAAATGACAGCTGAGCCAACTTTTTTTGTATTATTATTATTATTTCTCTTGGGGCATTTACTCTGCTTCCTGTGTGGGATCGGTGGCTGGATTAGGATTAGACTGCCAAACATGCGATATAAGGGGACCAGACCACCTCTGAAGGTGGTGTAAGTGAAAACACTGAGCCTCTATTTGCTGTCAGAGCAAACAAAAAGCTGAAGACACAAGTTAGTGACAAATGTAAACAGGGTCTTCAATAAATAAAATTAATCTGGATTTAAACCCTCTAAGATACAGGGAGGGTGTTACCCCCCACAGAGGCTGACTCTTTAGTCCACAGATCTTTTTTTACTGACAGCACTTACACTAAAAAAAAACTAAATGATTGATTTTGAAAGAACAGTGGAGGAGTAGGTTGTTTTATATATTTGTTTGTTTATTTTCCTCAGTGTGGAGGATCCTCTGAGTTTATTCCAGATGCTCTCACCCCTTATTTCAGCCTTTTGTAGCTTTTTGTCGGACCTCGGTCATCACTGAGTTTGTAGTCGTAGGTTAGTGTGGAGATGTGGAGGTTTTGGTTCAGTCTGTACCTCATTAGACTGTCTGAGGACAGAATAACAGGAGTCTCAAAATACATCTAAAAACATTTAGTTTCTTCATTTGCTCAGGATTGTCTCAGAGGTTGGCAGATGAGTTGCTTCTGGTGGTTCAGGCATCTGTTTAAGATGTAAGTTTGGGTTTGACTGTCTTTATTTCTACAGTCCAGTAGATGAAATCATGGATGTAGGGCAGAAGATGTGTGAGACCTACAGTACAGATTTACAACAATAGGCTGAGCTGATGCCTGGCTCAGTGGTTTGTGGTAAACACTCAGAATTCAGTGGAACTACAGCAGTTTGCCGTCTTTTTCTCCTCACATTTTTTGACCAACTAGTCTAAACTAGTCTAGGTCCAGTGACTGCATCACTGCAAAGGCTCCAACCAAAACCCACGTGGTCCATGTCCTAGAAAGCTGTAATTGCATCAGTTTAATCTAGTTTGCAGTTGGACCTCACTGGACTGCAGTCAGACTCAGTTCTGCAGCTGCCCCAGGTGGTCTCTCTTTTGGTATCCTGAATTTACACATTAGAGCCGCCTAGAAGGAAAAACTGAGGGTTTGTTTTGCTTTTATTTTATTATTATTTTTTTTTTTGTTTCAGAGTTTTGAGATTCAAGTCCAAATGTCTTGAGTAAAGTTATAAATCATTGAAACGAAGCCCTGATGACCACACCATCACGCTAATTTACATCTGGAGCTAAAAACCTGTATTTACTCGTGAGCTTTTTTTATTAGCTAAAGATGATTTAAAATGGATTTTGAAATCCATACTCTGTCTGTTTGAATCATCTTACGATTTTGACTTTAATCTCTGACCTTTGAAACAAGAAAATAATGTTTTTTTCCACCTTGGGCTGATCCTGATGGTTTCAGCAGAAGAGATCAGGTGCTTCAGGTGTACTTCTGACTTGAGTACATAGTACATATTTCAGTAAATCTTTTCCTAAATCATTATGGGAAACTTTTTACAGGTCTATAAAACAAATACTACTGGCAAACTTCAACCCTTTCAGTCTAAAGGAATAGAAAAAAAACGTGACTTACGAGAGTAAAGAGTCCTGGACTTTATTCTAAATAAAGAGCAGTAACTCCATGTAAACATGTCGATGTTCTAAAGAACAACTTGCTCAAAGATGAGAAACACTCCAAATGTTGAACTGCTCGTGAAAACACGTCTGGGATGATGTTAGACTATTTTTTTTTATAGTTTGTGAAGTGTTTTTATTCTTGAACTTTAGCCTCAGTGTTCATGTGTGGGGGGTGGTGGGGGTTTGAAATAAAAATATGTACACTTTCTTCTCTGATTTCCTGTCTTATCTAATTTTGTACGCTCAATAAAGTTTTACATTTAAATTTTTTTGGTATTTCTTGATTTTGTACTTAAGAAGTAGAAAATTGGAAGTGTTGGAGAGATTTAATGACAAAAACAGAGTTTTTCACCACATTTAACTATTTTGAACTCAATTTATGATGAATGTTAGCTTATCTTTAGGCTGTGACCAATCATCCTACTGTAAAAACAAGCTGTAATTTTGTTGTGTCTAAAAATACATAAAATCCCAAAGATTACAAGTATGCTTTAGTCTGTTAATCTAGAATTCCATCACCTGCTTCCTGTTATGCCAGTTTTACACTAAGAACACCTGATAAAAACGTTTCGCCTAGGAAAAAACAGTCTTGTTATGTGAGAGATGTCACACTGGGTGTGACCTTTTCAAAATTTAGCTCAAACTCAAGTTATCCATATTTGCTAAATGTACTTAGTTGTGGCAGCCGTCTGAACGAGGTTGGCTCTGGTCAAAGTCTAAATAGTTTAAAAAAAAAAGGTTATACATCGGGGAAACAAAGCAGCCACTGTTCAAAAGAATGTCCCAACACAGACGAGCTACATCTAATGGCCAGAACTCTGCAGTTTTCACTCATTTACAGGCCAGCGGTCACTCTTTCAGAGATGAGGATGTTCTCATTCTTGATAGAGAGGAACGTTGGTTTGAGAGAGGAGTAAAAGAAGCCATTTTTGTGAAGCAAGACCATCCATCATTAAACAGGTGGAGGCCTCCGTTTTCAGTTGTCCCCCTCCTACAGTGCTGCTATTGCCAGTATCACTCCACCCCTGTTAAAAATGTGTTAATTAGGTGTCAACGATGGCCATGTGATGTATCAGTCACATGGAGACAGTGCTTAAAAGCATGGATTTTGCCTGTAACTCTCAGACTGAAGAAGTCTCTTGGAGGAGAGATGAAATGTTTCATTAAAGAAGAACCCGTCCAGAGGACCTATACAATTTTTTTCTTTTTGATTTTTTAACTGTTTTACTGAGATGCATCAGGACATCTAAATAGTTTAGCACATATAAACTATAAAAGTTGACCAAAGTTCTTTACAGTTCAGCTAAATGAACCGATAAAACAACAATAAAAACAAATGTTCACGTTGAGTAAAATTACTCTTAAAAACCAAAGGAACTGCCAGAACCTGTAAAGCAGCAGGTGGTTTCCTCGGAGCTCCAGCAGGGGGCAGTGATGACGTCAGACTGAAGGAGGTGACGACAGGCGGAACCAGCGAAGAAGAACCAGTTCTGTTTGGATTGTTTTGAGTTCCTCCTGGGAGTTCCGGTGTTCAGGATGCTGCTGGTTTTAACCGAGGAGCAGAAAGACCACCTCCACTTCCTCCAGACCGTCGAACCCTCCGGTGAGTTTAGACTCTGCTCGCCGGTTCTGGTGGCTGGGAGCAGGGTTCCTTCCCTGAAACCTTCCGGTCAGTGGTTCCAAATGTTTTACTGAAGACTCGTGGAAAATGTGACCGCGATATGAACGTCAATAAATAAAAACAGCTCTGGTTTTACAGCCTGTCAGGGATTTTGTTCCTGTTTTTGTTTGTTGCGATTATGTTATCTACCCCGTGTTTGTTCTACTGTTTGTTGTTTCATATTTCACACAACACTGGTCGGGTTTACATAAAACTATTTATGTATTTTATGTTTCAGCTGATTTCAACCAGATTCAAGATGGCCGCCACAGTCAAAACAGCTAAAAAAAAAAAAAAAAACACGAAAATAGCTGAGAATATTTAACACATTAACAACAGACTGCTCTTTAAAGTTGCCATTAATTATCAACTCAATACTCAACTCTGTTAGCAAAATATCCCACAAACCATTAGATGGATTTTGACGAAACTTTCAGGGGATAAATGACTGGATGAACACCTGCAGCTGATCATGACTGCTACAGCCTAGTGACCCTAGAAAACACAAAACACTGTAACTGTGTCCATAAAGGCTAAAACCCACAACACAAACTGAGAACATGACCGTAAACTGATGGCTTCATTAACTGATGCATGGATTTAAGTGAAACTCGTTTTAACTAATGAACTTTTATTTAATTTTCATCCTGACTGTGTCTGTGTGGAGCAACATTTATACAACAGGTTTTTGTCCTCAGTGGTTGAGGAGTTCGGCCGTATCGCCTTGGAGTTCTTACGCAGAGGAACCAGTCCGAAGACCTATGAGGGGGCAGCAAGTAAGTCTGTCTTTGTTTTCATCTGCTGACGTTTGTTTTTATCTGCTGACGTTTGTTTTCATCTGCTGAGGTTTGCTTTCATCCACATGTTCTGATACATTATTCACACCACTGAGATAATTTTTTCGTCCGTACGTTTTTAGGTAACCTTTCTGTGCTACTTCAACAATTCATATATCAAAACTAGGGGTGTAAGACAATATCGATACACTGAAATATCACAATATTTCATTTCCCGATACTGTATCGATATTCTGAAGCCCTGTATCGAT